TAGTTTTATTCTGCTGCATGGTCATTAAGTGGCTGAGCTCTAATTGCTCTGAAGCTTTCTGTAGCTAAGAGAAACAGCTGCACAATAGAAATCTGTGTGTCCCTCACCATCCCAAACCTCTGTCCCAGCCATGAGGCCTGGCTGACTCCTGCACCCCCTCCAGAGCCTGAGGAATGCTGTTGTGGGCAGACACGAGGCACTCTGCAGGCTCTTCCCAGCTGAAAATAGCTTTTTTTTTTTTAAATTCACATGGCTCCTTGCATGCTGCATGCTCCCTCCTCTCCTTCCTTGCCTGGAGTGGGTGTTCAAGTTCTTCCCTGCCCCATCATCCAAACCCAGAGGTGAGGACTTCCAAACCCAAAGCTAAGTGTTGCTCAATTATTCAGCTCATTAAGCCCTTGGTGCTGATGCTGCAATGAAATTATAGCAGAAAAGAAGGCGAAGAGGAATTTTTAGGTGGTTTTTTCCTCCTGAGAGTGACAAAACAACCTCTGGCTAGTGGTCAGCCTGTACAGCCAAAGGTGTCTGATGACCTGGGGTGGAAAGCAGTAGCTGACAGCACCAGCTCTTTCTAAAATGCTGTCTTGCTTGTTTAAATAAAAAAACACATACAATATTTCAAGTTATATTCTTGAAACATGCCAAGAGGTGTTATGCTGGGAATAAGGGGAATAAGGGATCCCAAAGGATGCTCTTTGTTGTCTCCTTGGGCTGGGGGCTGGCAGATGGACCTGCCTGCTTGGGACACCTCACAATATTTTTCCCAGGCACATATCTTGGATATGGCTCTGGAGCCAACCAGGAGTTTTGCAAGAAGCAGCTCTGCCCAGGTGACAACTCCATCATTTTCCTGGCTGGCTGCTAATTAGTGCTTCCAGGTGTAGCTTCCAACATGCATCAGCCCCATTCCAGCCCCTCCCTGGGGGGAGAAGCAACTGGGTTCAGCAGAAGAATTTTAGAGCATCCTCTGCTATTAAAGGCTGATTGCTCATTTGGGCTGGGAGAGGGGATAATTACCCAACCCCCCCATCGAAGGAGAACAGAGTGCTTGAAGATTTGCCTCCTCAATGGCAGCTTAAAACAGTCCATGAGGCTCTTCCAGCCCCAAAAGCAGCTCTTCCAGCCCAGAGCCTCCCCGAAGAAGCACTTGAAACCTTAAAGGCCAAGATCTGCTTCTAAAAGGTACTTAAAAATGTCTCAGCTGGGGCACGGGGGGGAATTGCTGAAGGGGAGAGTGGGCTTGGGGCTGGGCACCAGGTCAGGAAAGCAAAACAGGTTTCAATTTACATCCAGAGTAAGAAGTAATAACAGGATAAAAACTTCCTTGTGCAAGACGCTGTTATTTCATTACGTGGCCAGGCAAAGCCCAGACTTATTGTACTCCTGGCCAGTGACGTCCTCGCTGTCATTTAGTCCTGAAGAATGAGCTTGAAGCATATTTAAATCGTGCTTGTTGTTTCCTCCCAAGTGATATATATATATATATATAAACACACACGGTTTTTTTCTTTTCTTTTCAAAAAAATATTTCAATGGGGACAAAAATGTTGTAGAAAGCATCTGAAAGATGCTCGAGGGCCGTTTGGGAGCAGCCTGAAAGACGTGGGATCACGGTCCAGGGAAATCTTTTCTGTTCCTTCTGCCAAGCCTGGCTGGCGTTGGTGCTTTGGAGAGGGATGGTCGTGGGAACAGCTTTGGGTTTGGCCCGGGTGCTGGGAAAAACCCGCCTCCCAACCCCAAAGGCTGACTCCCGGCAGAGACCGGCTGCTTTAGGGACAAATTTGGACCAGCGAAGGAGCAAAATGCTCATCCCCATCCCTCCCGAACACATTTTCTCGGGAAGCAGAGATGAGGAACTCGCTGGCAAATCCCCCTTTTCCGGGGATAATTATTCATCCAGCTCTCCCTGATCCGGGGAGGGTCTCCGGGCTGCTGAACGTGGTCCAGCTGCGGGTCTGGGGGGGAGCCGAGCTGAGCCCCGGCCCCTGTCGCTGCTCTGCCACCAGCGATGTGACAATGACAGCTCAGGCAGCGATGTGACAATGACAGCCCAGCCGATGGATTCCTCCCCGCGCTCAATGTCCCCGCTTATGCAAGTGTGTTTTCCACGCTTTTTTTCCCCCACGTTTATTAAAATCCCAGCCCGGGCGGGCAGAGGGGTGACCTGCGCTCGCTGTCGCATCAGGCGGGGACAAAACTGTCCCCGCTGAGCGTCTCCGTGCGGGAAGATGCCAAATCGGGCGTTTCTGTGGGATGGGGAGCCTGGTGCCACCACGGGGGGGGGGGATGCCAGGGAGAGCCCTAAAAGCTCCTTGGAACAGTGACCGCGGAGGGGACACACGAGGGGACTCTGGTGGTCCCTTCGAGGCAGTCGTGGTCTCAAAAGCCGGGCTGGCATTGGGGGTACCCCCCCTGAACCTCCCGGGAGTACGAGTGGGACCCACGCTGGGGGTTGGCTCTGCAGAGCCCTTCTCCGGGAAGGCTGTGCCCCCGGTAACCACGGGGCTCCTCCATCCCCGCCACCCCCGTGTCCCCCTTGCCCATCCCGCTGCGACGGAGGGCTCTTACCTGCCGGGAGGAGGAGGAGGGCGAGGAAGAGGAGGCGGCAGCAGCAGCCCATGGTGCCGGCGGCGCTGCTGCCGCGGCGGGAGGGACACAGCGCCCGGCCCCGGTCCCCGCCCCGCCCGGCCCGGCCCGGCCCACAGCGGCACCTGCCGGGGCTGCGGCACCGGGTACCGGGGGCTGAGCGGTCCGCCCGTGCCGGGGCTGGATGCTGAGTGCCACACGCTGCGCTTGGCGTGTTCGATGGGGATGTCCTGGCACACGTTGTTCGGAGAAGCTGCGGTTGCCCCATCCTTGTAAGTGTCCAAGGACAGGTTGGGCGAGTCTCAGAGCGACCTGGGCTAGTGGAAGGTGTCCCTGCCCATGGCAGCATGGTTGGAAGAACAAGGGCTTTAAGGTCCCTTCCAATCCAAACTCTGTGATCCCGTGATTCTGGATCTCCCTGCTGCAGAGGGATCTAGTTGTGGTGAGGGACAAGCCAGGTACATGGATCAAACACAGCCAGGTAGTCAGGGTCCTGCTTTTCCACAGCACAAACAGCTCCCAAAATGCAGCTCCAGTGCCCAAAGGATCCAGCCAGGACACAGACACCTGTGGCACAGCAGGAGGTACAAGAAGCATTTTTTTACCTCTTTCCTTCTGGGAAGAGCTGTGCTGTGGGTGACATATTTTCAGGCTGAACTCATCCTCCCCAGGCTTTTGCTCATTATGGAAAAGGATTTTTGGAGCCCGAGCTATCTTTACCCGGGGTTGCTCAGCCCTCTGTTCTGTTGTGTTGTGTGGCATTTTCTCAGGATGGATCCTGGCTCTGGGCACAAAATCCAAGTCAGCTGGCATTCCTGAGGCAGAGGGGCTCTATCAGCATCTCAGCTCTCCTTGAAACCTTTTTTCTGCTCGGGAGGAGGGAAAATATTGCTGTTGTGATAATCTCCCTGCTTCCCATCTCGCATCCCTGTTCTCGGTGGCGCTGGTGCTTCCATGGGCAGTTTTTGGGGCGCCGAGGGCTGGGCCCTGGCAAACCCGGAGCTCCCCTAAGGGCCACCAGTTCTGGGCTCCAGCTGCCACCTGCTGGTCACCTCTGCCTGGTCCTCCCGGCACGGAGCAGGGGACAGGGCCAGGGAGAGGTCCTTTTTTGGGGATAACTTTTGCCAGCGCTTTCCCATTGCTGCCGGAGATTGGAAACCATTGCCTCTGGTGACATCCCAGCTCTTTTAAAATCTCTTCAAATTGCCTTTCCCTCCAGTTTTAGCCAGATCTGAAGGATGCTGTGGGGAAACTTTTCTTTTGGTAGGCACTAGGATTTTTTTCTTTTTTATTTTTTTTTTCCTACTCGCTGCCCTTGCCCACCCCACCGGGATGGAGCCAGCTCCTCTTGGGTGACTCTGTGCCACATCTGGGTGCCAGCTGCCAGTTTTGCCGGTCTTGCCCAAGCCCTCAGCAGAGTTTTTGCACCATCCTTGTGGTTTATCACTTTTGGGGGGCTGCTGGCAGGGAGCTGGCGTGGCTGTGAGCAGAGGGACCGGCGGTACCGGTGTGCTGGAGCTTGCAGCAGGAATTTTTGGCTGGCCAGGGCTAAGGGAGCTTGCTCACCCCCTGGCCAGCGGCCAAATGGCATGGCTGGGTGGCTGCCAGCACTCGCATTAATAGCTGCCAGCTTGCGGTTTGAGGTCACCCGTTCTTTCCAGTCTTTCATTTCCACCTTCATTCGCGCCCGGGGGCTCCACCACCGCTCCCCGCCTGTCCCCATCTCTGCCGGGAGAGCCTCCTGTCCCCTCCTGTCCCCTCCTGGGAGTCGGGACAGCGCCAGCCCGCGGCGGAGCATCCCTACTGAGCGACCCCAGATGGCAGGAGGGGACACGCCAGCAGCCGGGGGACACTTCACCCCTGTGGGTCTCCTCTGCTCCTCAGGGGACCGGGATCATACGCCTCCCGAGGCACAAATGACACCGCGAGGTGTATTTTGCCAAGGCACAGCCCCTCGCAGGATAATTGGGAGCTGCCGTCATTGCCTGCCAAGGCCCTTGGGAGGGTGTTTTGCTCGCTGTGAATAAATCTGCCTTTCCACAAGAAGCTGACCGGGGTTAAATGCTCTGGAGAGGCGAGGCTGGACTGGGATTTGCGTCCTCTGTCCCTCTGGAGAGGGGATCCCGGGAGCCCTGCCTGGCAGCCTGCTGGCAGGATGGGGGATCCCTCTGGCACCCCAAATCCTTAGGGATATGGGGGGAGGCATCTACTCGACACCTCCTGGCAGGAGAGGCCAGGCGTGGGTGGGACACCCGGGAGGGGACACCGGGACCGCCAAGGGATGGCTGCGGCGGGGTGGGAGCCGCGCAGCTGGAGGAGGAGGAGGAGGAGGAGGAGGGCGGTAGTGGCAGAGCGGCCGCCCCCGTCCCGCCCCGCCGCAGCTGCCGGGCACCGGGCAGGCGGCGGCGGCGCGCATGGAGGCGGCGGCGGCCCCGGTCCCGGGCGGCGGCCCCGGTACCCTGCTGCTCTGCCTGGCCCTCGCCTCCGGTAAGCACGGGAGTCCCCCTGCCCCGCCACCTGCCCGGTTCTGGGATACCCAGCTCCCTGTCCCGGCCCGGTGTCACCTCCGCTGTCCCAGCCCCGGCACCGTCCTCTCTCCGGTCCCGCTGCTTCTCGCTCCCATCCCGGTGCTCCCCCATCCCATCCTGCCGCTCCCCGGCTCCCGTTCCCGTTCCCAGTGTTCATGCTGGTGTTTCTCCAGCCCCATCCCACTGACTCCCTGTGCCCCCCTGGACAATCCCATCCCATCCTTTCCTCTATGCCCATCCTGGTGTTGCCCAGCCCTGTCCCTGGGCTTCCTCTGTGCTCCCAGGTCCCATCCTGGAGCTCCCCACCGTTCCAATGCTGCCTCTGAACCCCTGGGGTCAGCCTGGGGGCCAGGATGTCCTGGCTGGATCCTGGAGCAGGAGCGGGATGCTTTTCCCACCTGTTGAAGGGAAACTGCTGATGGGTGCCTGAGTATGGGATGCCGGGGGTAGGGGGGCCGGTACCTATCCAGCAAAGTGTGTGAGCAGCTCATTCCCGTGTTAATTCCTAAGATTTTGGGAAGCAGGCAGCTGCAGACAGGTGTCTGCTGGTGGCTGCCAGGAAATAACCATTTCAGGGGAGCTTTTCTCTCCGCAGGGAGCAGCTTGGGTTTGGCCCTTTGGCAGGGCTGGTGACAGCACTTGGCAAAACCTGCCAAACCTGTGCTGGCAGGAGCAAAGCGAGGGTAGCCGACCTGGTTTGGGGCTGGTGTGTCCCCTCAGAGCTCAGTCATGGTCTGGGTGGTTGCTCCCTTGCGGTTTGGGCTTTGCTGGGAGAGCAAGGCGGTGTTAGCAGCAAAATAATCCAGTGTTTGGGATGCTTCCCTGGCTTATCTCCGGCTGCAGCCCGAGATAGTGGAGCCGGTCTGGCCGTGCATCAGGGAGGTGAGGGAGGTGGCACCTGCAGCCTCTGGGTGCCGTCCCTCCGGGGCTGGCACTGCCACCAGCCCTGAGGATGCCAGAACTCGGCGTCTGCTTGCAATAAGGGTGGGGAGCGCAGCTTGGTGGGGATCTTTCCATGTCGAGCTGTGAACTCGGTCACCGCCAGTGAAGTCAGCCTCCCTCCCTCCCTCCCTGTCCCGCCGCATGCCCACAGCTGGATCCCGGGGTGCAGCCGCCCCATGGCTCATCCCTGGCTCCCCCCGGGCAACTCCCACCCTGCTGCTGGCCCGGGGGGTACAGTGGGCACCCTGTCCTCCCCACCGGGCTCTCTCGGGGCTCTGTCACCCGCAGCGTGCCGGTAGCGCCCTGCTGGCTATATATAGCCAGGAGGGACGTGTGTGCTGGGAATGTCCCCGCAGTGCCACGGGGGGGGACACACCGGAGGCTCGGTGCCGGAGGAGGAAACGGGGAACGGGAGACGAGGCTGCCGGGATCCGGCTGTGCCAACTCTCCGGGAAGCCACCAAGTGCCACCACGCGGGATGGTGACACCCTCGCCTCAGCGGGCCACCTCCTCGGGAGCCACCCGTCAGGCAGGACCTGTCCCCGCTGCCCGGGTGGCACCTCGGCGGGTGAATCCCCGGGGAGGGCCGGGCGGGGAGCGGGGAGCTGAGTCAGTGTTGGTATGCCAGCGATCCGGTTACCGCCGCTCTGACGCTCCCGCCTCTCGGTTTCACCCCGGTGACCCCCTTTTCCCTTTCTCCGGAGCACCTTGCGGTGCCTAAAGGGGCTCCAAGGGAACTGCAGAGGGACTTGTCACAAGGCACGGAGCGACAGGACAAAGGGGAACCGCTCCACACTGACAAAGGGCAGGTTTAGATTAGATACTGGGAAGGAATTCTTCCCAGGGTGAGGAGGAGGGTGGGGAGGCTGTGGCAGCTCCATCCCTGGAAGCGTCCAAGGCCAGGTCGGACAGGGCTTGGACCAACCTGGGCTGGTGGAAGGTGTCCCTGCCCATGGAAGCAGAGTTGGAACGAGACGAACTTGGCAGTCCCTGGCAGGCCAAACCAATCAATGATTTCATGAGTCCGGATCTCTCTGGGCATCCCTCCCTGCATCCTCCCCGGGCAGAGGAGCAGCTGGCTGGGCTGTGTGGTCCAAAAAAGCCACCCCGCTGCCTCCCAGACCTCCGTGCCGGGGCGTTGCTGGGTGGAGGCAGCAGGCGGGACCCGCTTCCCCTTCTCCCGGCCCTGGGGAAAAGCTGATGCTGCCGGAGCAGGGGGGCCGTGGGCACAGCTGCAGAACCCGCTGCCAACCCCCCACCCACACACCCACCCGTGGCTGTGGGGGGGTGCTGGGGGTTCCCCTCTGAGCTGCCTGCAACGCCTTCCAGGCTTGGCGTGCTTTGGCTGCGTGGGTGCCGACACCAATGCCACCGAGGGGCTCAGCTGCGGCACAGCCAAGGGATGCACAGGTGAGGGGGTGCAGGGGGGTGCTGGGGGGTGCTGGGGGCCTTGGATGGAGGATGAGCAGGGGTTTTGTGTGGCATGGCTGGGCTGGGAAGCCGGGGATGCCCAAGCCGACCCCGCTGGTTGCAGCGGCTCAGGGGTGCTGCTGCCTCCGGGCAGAATTGTCACCCTTCGTGCTTGTCACCCGCAGGGAACGGGACGCAGCTGCGGCGGCACAGCCACTTCTCCCGGTGCCCGGAGGAGTATCAGCACTACTGTGTCAAAGGGAGGTGCCGCTTCCTCGTGGCCGAGGAGGCGCCGGCTTGTGTGTAAGTCACCCGCGGTGGGGACACAGCACGGGGTGGGATGCTGTGCCCGTCCTCCTCCTGCCTGAGGGGGACACGGGCACCGTGGCAGCTTTTGGGACCGCCCCGTGCCTCCCCTGTGCTGCGGGGCAGGTGCGAGCGGGGCTACACCGGGGCTCGCTGCGAGAGGGTGGATCTGTTCTACCTGCGAGGGGACCAGGGCCAGATCGTCATCATCTCCCTCATCGTCGGCATTGTCGCCCTCATCATCCTCGTCGTCGGCATTTGCCTCTGCAGCCAGTACGTGGGGGAACGGGGCGGAAAGGGAAAGGGAAAGGGAAGAGGGAGCCCAGGCCGATGGGACATGCTCCCGCAGGTGTTGGGAGGTGCCTGGGACATTCCTTTGGGGCTGGAAAGCAGGCGTGAAGATCCATGTGCATCTTCTGCAGGGTAAAAGCCGAGGGAGAGGAAGGAGCATCACCGCCATGCCCCCTTCTGCCTCTTTTTGTTTGTTTGTTTTTTATTATTTCCCCCCCTGTCAAGCCACTGTCGGAGGCAGCGTAGGAAGAGAAAGGCAGAAGAGATGGAAACGTTAAACAAGGATGGACCTTCCAGAAGTGAAGATGTGCGGGAAACGGGCATCGCGTGAAGGTGCAGGGGAGCGGAGGGGGGGTGGCGACCGAGCCGGTGTGACCGGAGCCCCTCATCGGCGTGGGTGCCGTGACCGACGGGATCTATTTTCTCCACAGGAGCTCCCGGTACCTGCGGGCGGGTCCCGGACGGCAGCAGCGGTTGGCTCCATGGGCGAGGGCTAAAACGTGCGGCGGTTTGAATAAAGGGGTGGCGGAAAGGTGTCCCCGTGTCGCCAATGTCCTTGCGGGGGCGGGGACTGCGCTGCCGCGCCGCGGCCGCCAGACGGCGACACTGAGCAGGGGCGGCCCACCCGCCATACCCGCGGTGGCCACGGGAGGGCGCCACAACCGCGGCGCCTCCGCCCCGCTCCCGGTCCCGGTCCCGGTCCCGGTCCCGCTCCCGGTCCCGGTCCAAGCGGCTCTACCGGGCTCGGGTCCCGTTCCGGGCGGCCTGAGGGCCGTGCTGGAGCTGCTCCCATTGCAGCCGCGCCTCTCCGCAAGGACCGAGCCGAGCTCAGCGTCCCCGGGCGCTCTCCCGGTTCCCGACTACCGGCGGGAGAGGGGAGGGACCGGGTGAGGGAAAGCGGGCAAAAGTGGTGGAGAACCGGGGCAGAACTGGGTGAACCGGGGCCGTTGGCTCCCGTCGCCCCCGCGCTGCGGGCTCTGGTGCCTGGAGTTGCGGCGCGGATCCTGCCCGTGGCTCTGAGAGCGGGTTTGGGCACCGACCCTCTGCGGGGGGACAGCATCAGCTTCCCGGGATGGGGCCGGGTGTCCCTGGTGTCCCCCACGCGGGAGGTGGGGACGCGGTGGAGCTCCCGATTCCCGGCCCGGTGACCGGTCCCGGTGGGGCTGGAGTCTCCGGGATAACCGGTGACCATCCCGGTGACCATCCCGGCCCCGGGCTCTGTTCTCCCGGCACGGGCACCGGCTGGGCTCCTCTGCCCGAGCAGGACAGACCCTTCCAGCCTGGCACGGCTTTGCCACGGATGGGATGTGCCCAAACTGGTGAGAGTGGGAGCAGCTGCTGGGCAAACTGGTTTGCACCGGGGTCCAACCCTTTGCTCCTGCCCATGCTCATCCTCACGGGTGGATGCCTGGCAGCAGTAGGGACTTGGGGATGGCTCTGGGGCTGTGTAAAGCCCTGCCGTGACTGAAAACCTTCTTTTTCAGCTCCAAGCGTGGCCATGGTGAGAGCTGAGGCCACCCCAGGGATCTGCACCGGCGATTCCAGCTGGATACGGGGGGCCACGGCCACCCCGGTGGTGCCAGTCCCTCGGGAATGTTGGTGCCCAAGCGATGCCACGTGGCTGTGCCAAAGGGTGGGGAGGGCTCATCCCAAGGAGCGTGGCCCTGAGGTGCCAAGGGACATTTTTTGGGCTCCTATTTCAGGGATGCAGGATGGGGAAGTGGATTCTCCATTGCACACAGCTGCTGGAAGCTCTGCTGTGAGCTGAGTGGCACCAGCAGCACCTGTGAGCTGATTCCCCCTCTATAAATGCTGCTGATCCCCAGGCTTTGCTGGGCCTGCCTGGAGGGAGCAAAACCAAGAGAAAAAATGCTTGCTGTTTCCTTGGGGATGTGCTGTACACAGTCTGGGAGACAAATAAAATGAACAGGAGGTATGAGCCTTTTTCCTGTCTGTTTTTTGGGTGGGTGGAGTTGATGGCTGGGATGCTGCAGGCCCAAAAGGACTAGGAAATCAGTGGCCCTGCAGGTCTCAGAGGTGGATAAAACACTTCCAGCCTTTTTATGATGCTTCATGGAGCAGTGGCCAGGAGAATGTTGGAGCTGTTTTATTCAGCGCTGGGTTTTCAGTGCTTTAAGTGTTTCTCACTGGGCTTTTCCCATGGCAGCCCTGCATTCCCTGGTTGTAAGGAAGTGATGCCACCCCAGAGCTCCTGCACTGCCAGGGAATTCCTGCTTTAATCTGATTAGTTCCTGGGGAGTGGGCAGACCAGACAGGAGGTGGTGTGCTGAGCACCAAGATTGGGGATTAAAAAAAACCAAAAAAAAACCCCACACAACTAAGTCAGGAACTTTGCTGCTTCCTTTACATTTTTGGGAATGGGTTAGAGAGGTGGTGGGATGAAAAGGCAGGAGGTGGATCCCCCTTGTGTGTGTCTGAGGGCAGGAGGAATGAGAGCTGGAAAATAAAATTACTACCAAATAAAAATCCCAGGTACAACAGAGAGCAGAAAACCCAACTGGTTTATGCCCAGGCTGGCAAGGACTGGATGGAACCCCTGGGGAGGTGATGCTGGCAGGCATCAGGCACGAGCAGCCTGAACTTTCCAAGGAAATCTGCTGCTTTTAGCAGGAGGATTATGATTTGTGTTGTTTTGAACAGCAGCTGAGTATTTTTGGGTGGCTTTTCATGTGCTTCCCTTGCTGTGGTTGTTGTACATGAAGCTGCCACATCTGGGCTCGGGGGATTTCCCTGTGGTTTTCTGGGCTGGGTTTGCCATCCTCCTGCATCCCAGACAGGGGCTTCTTCCCCTGCAGCACCCCCAGAGCCCCACCTGTGCTGGAGAGGGCTCACCTGGGCAGGCAGGCAGCTGGGGGTGCCCCTCTCAGGTGCTGGGGCTGTTGTTTCTAGGTAGTAACCCAAATACCCGCAGACTGATGTCTCTGTGGGCATTTGATGAGTCTTTTTTCTGGTTTTGCTTCGTTTTTTAGAGCTTTATCTCCCAGGATCAGGGCTGGGACCTCTTCCTGCCTGCGGAGGTGAAGCTGCGCCCCTCTCCCACCCTCCCCACCGCCCCGAGGGTGGGCAAAGCCCTTCCAGCAGCACTGCAGGGCACTCTGCTTGTCTTTATTTCGGCTGCAGGAATGGAATACGAGGTGTGGGCTCGGTGACCTCCTCCAGCCCAGCACCTCGATGCTGCCATCCCACTCCTGCACTGTGGGAATCCAGGGATTCCCTCTGGCTGCCCTGGCAGGTCTGGGACCCTGGCAGGGGTCAGGAATCCCCCTGTAGAGGCCCCAGAGACACTGTCTGTGATCTCTGTCCATGGAAAAGAGTTTTCAATCTTACAGGATGAATTACCAGCTCTGAGTGTTTGATATCAGTAATAATTAAGTGTGGCACGGGTGCAAAAGTAAAATTTTAGGATTCTAGATTAGGGGTTCAGAGGGGACAAGATGGAGGAAATTGGGTGTGGCTTGTCCTTTTTCTCCTTATTCATGCCCTCCATGTTTCACTGTAGTGTTGGCATTTTTCTGTTGGTTTAGGCTGGGGACACACTGTTCAATGTAGATGACAGATATTGGCACATTATTGTAAATCCAGCACAGGTAGTTTCTGGTATTTAATGTTTGTAACATCCCACTGAGGGCAGAGCCCCACACGCTGCCCTGCAGGACAGAGCTGCGGCAGGGCAGCAGAACATGTTAGAGATAAACAGAATAAACAACCTTGAAACAGCACAGACGAATTATGGCTTCTTCTTTGGCAACGGGGTAGAAAGACAGACTTTTTACAATCTGGGGATCATCAATACCCACAGATTCCGCCACTGCGCGATCACGGAGCTCCTCCTCGTGGTCCCCCTCCGGGCCGCTATCCCAGCAGGCAGGACTCCTCCTTACACAGCTCTCCCAGCTCCGAGCTCACCTGGGAAAGGAGGGAAGAGCCGAGGGGCAGCCCCGGAGCGGGGTCCGGCCCCGCAGCGGTGCAGGGAGGGGCCGCAGCGGTACCTTGGAAGCGCAGAGGAGCGGGGGAGAGTCTGGCAGGCAGCAGGAGGAGGCGAAGGAGGTTCTCTGCTCCAGGAGCTGCTCCAGCTGAGCCGGGCTGGCCTCGGGCTGGGCTCGGGTCAGGCTCTCCCGCAGCCTGCGGAGAAGGGAGCGTGGTCACGGCAGAACCCCGCGGCTCTTGGCCGATGGGGGGATGCAGGCGTGGGAGCATCCTCAGCATCGTGGAGGAATTCTGATTGCAGCCGGTGATCCGTGTGGGTGTTTTGCAGGGGGGAAGGTAAAGGCTCACCTCTTCTTGAACTCAAGGAAAGGCAGCTTGTTGTACTGCCCGCAGAGCTGGTTGGCCCTCTCCAGGAAGGGGAGCAGCTCCTCTCCTATCCGCTTGCGCTGGGGCAGAAGGTGGGAATTAGCAGGCTGGGAAAAGCCTCTGCGGGGATTTGGGGAGGATGAGCCCCCAGAGCCCCCACACCACTCACCTTGCTGTCCAAACAGGCAGAGGGATCCTTGGAGGAGCAGCATTCCCCCCGAAGTTTCTTGGAGGAGTCGTAGAGCTTGGCGAGGACGGCGTCAGGGAGGTTGGGGTGCCTCCGTGCCAGCTCAAACAGGAACCTGGAGCAGGAGGGAAATGAGTGCTCAGGCAAGTCTCCACTTCGGGTGCTGCTCACAAAGGGATGGGGCCTGGTTTTGGCATCTTTGTGCAGCCCCTGGGGCTGCCTGGTGGCACAAATTCCCCTGAAGGAATTGATGATGTTCCTCTGGTTATCCTCATAAGAACCTAAGCACGTAACAGGGTCAGGAACTGGTTGGACTCGATGATTTTAGGGATCTTTTCCAACTTAAGTGGTTCTGTTCCGTGCCTGCACCCTGGCTGCCGTGGCTGCCACTCACCTGGTGGCATGGAGAGCCCCTTCCTTGGCACACAGCTCCTTGTTGGTGGGCTCTGGTGCCTCTGGCAGCTCGGGAGCCGGCGCTGGGAGCATGGCCAGGATGCAGAAATGGTTTTCCATCAGGTTTTTCCCTTTGCAGCAGTCGGCGAAGCGCCCGTCCCGAGCCGACAGCGCGGTGCAGACTTTGGCCGTGTGCTCCAAGAGCTGCAGAGAGCCAGCAGGGCATGTGCAGGTGCCCTCAGCTCCCTGAGCTCCTGCTGGGACCCTGGAGCAGCTTCCAGCTGGGCTCCAGCCCCCCCTACCTTCTTCTGCATGCAGTCCTCAGCCAGCGAGTCGCAGCACTGGGAAGACACCTCGGCAGCATCTTCGGCCAGGGGGAGAAGGTCCTCGAAGGAAGCAGTGGGAACCTTCTGAGCCAGCGAGGCCAGGTAGCTGTGGGGGGGAGCACAGGGCGTGTGGGGCTCGGGGGGCTGGGATCCCCTTCCCAGGAAACAGCTCCAAGCCAGGGGGAGGGAGGGGATGGGGAGGGGATGGGGAGGGCAGGGCTTGCTCTGCTCCTGTGCTGTGCATGGAGCGACTCCGGGGATTTACACCAGAATTAAAGCCTGTGTTTCTGAATGCTGTCTGCTAACAGGGTCTGCAGCAGGAGGGAGGAATCCTCCCCCAGCCTGGCTCCTGTTCCAGGATGGAGAGGCCCTTTCCCCCTGTACCTGAAGCTGACTTTGTCCTTCCCATACGCCGAGAAGCGGGAGCAAATCCGGTTTGATGTCAGAGTGAGGAGGGAGAGGGTTTTCCTCTCCAGTTTCTGCCACATAAAGAGAATGGAAATGGAAATCAGCACAGAGCTTGCCTGGCTCCCTGAGGAGTGAGGATGGGGCCGAGCCCAGAGCTCCAAAGGGTCTCACCTCCTTCAGGAAGCAGGCAGTGGGTGCATGGGAGATGCAGCAGGTGGAGACCATGGAGAGGAAGGTCGTGGTGGAGCCCAGGAGCACAGGCAGGGGAGCCTGGCTGTAGCTGCTGGAGTACTCATACAGAAACCTGCGGCAGAGATGGGATAAGGAGCCCCAGCACCTCAGGATCAGGGGATCCAGAGCACAAGCGGGGTTTGGAGGTGTTAAGATCATCCAGGGATGGGAACCCTCTCCAGGCACCACCTCAGGCTGCCAGCCCGTGGCACCAGCTGGGCTCACCTGTCGGCAAATTCGCGGGGATCCCGCTGGAAGGCCTGGCAGAGCTCCCTGTCGGAGGGCTGCAGGTAGCGGGGCAGCGGCTGGGGCGGGTGGCGCAGGGCAGCCAGGCACAATTTTCGCTCCAGACCCTCGTGGGAGCAGCACTCGGCCGTGCCGGGATGCGCCGGGAAGGGCGAGTCCACACCGCAGGATTTGGCCGACAGCGCCGTGGACTGTGGGAGGGACAGGAGGTTATGGCCACCCCACCCCATCCCCTTCCCCGTTTTTGGGGTCTGATCCCTGGTTTTGGTCAGTCTCACCCCGGTATCGTAGCAGGAGGGGTCAGCCCCGTCGGCGCAGCACGTCTCGGCCAGGGAGACGATTTCCCGGACGAGGTGGCTGATCTCATCGAAGGTGCCGTTGGAATATTTCCGGCTGTTGGCAATGATGGTCCTGGGAGCAGGGAGGGAGAACAGGGAGAGCCAGGTGAGCCTTTATCCTTCAATCAGAAATCCCATTACAGGACTGTTCTGCCCAAATTGCTTCAACAGTGTTGGCTGTGGTGCTGAGAGAAATAACAGCATATTCCTTGGAAAACAGCCAGGAAAAAGAACTGGAACAGCTTCCAGGCTGGGGGCTGCCACTTATTGTGGCACTGACTGTGTGTCAGCTCTGTGAGAATTCTTAATTATTTAGCTACTTAATTGGTTTTGAGGAATTCAACAATGAATCAAACTTTTCTCCCCTTTTTGATTAATTGAATCCATCTGCCCTTTTCCAAGGTTTTTATTTACTGTATTCTGCTCTTGGCTCAGGTGTCAGGCCTCCTGGGAGGGCAGCAGCAGCAGGAGGTACCTACAGGGTTCGGAAGTTCTCCTTTCCCAGCATCTTGTACTCCTGGCAGACTTTCTCCCGGACATAAGCTTTCCCTGAAAGTGCAGGAGAAGGAGGAATTGTGAGTAGGGAACAAGGAATGCTCTGCCACCACAGAACATGCTGCTTTATTCACTTGGGGTTTGTTCATTTTCTTCACTCTATTATATCTATTTCCAAGTAGGATTTGGTGGTCCCTGAGGAGATGTTGGCTCAGCCAGCCTGGGAAAAGCATCCCTGGTATCCAGGCTGCTGGTGCAGCTCTGCAGCCAGGGAAAGGAGCAGGGAGAAAACCCTCTACAGGTAAATCATATGGCAGTTTTTGAGTATGGAATATGTGGGGCTGGATTTTCTGGCAGGGCCTGGGAGCTCTGGGCCAGGTCCACGGAGCAGACAGCAGTGAAAACATTCCCAGCAGTGCTGTCATCCCTGGAAAAACGCGATCGATTCACGGGACCAGACTTTGGCACCCGCGGGGTAAACAATGATACCGGTGTTTCCTGGGATTACAGCGTGGGGCAGGGTCACCTCCCAAAATCCAGGGGTTTGGGCCATGACCCTGAGGGTCACATCGCTCTGGGGGGAACAGAAGTGTAGGGTGAAGGCAGAGGGTTGCCAGAAAAGGGGAAGCTGTGGAAAAGGCAGGTCTCTTTCCTGGCAGGAACGTCGGCTCCTGGTCCCAACTTGTGACATTTCCATTCACTTCTATAAAGCCATGTGGGACAGGTAAGTTTTAGGTGGTTTTTTGGCAGGTGGAGCTGAGAAGGCAGCAAAGGGCGGCAGAGCATTGTTTCCATCGAGGGGTGAGTTTTACAGAGGAATGGTGCTTGTCAGAGGGGTCAGGAAATCCCATTTTCCTTTACAAAGAGAAGGAGCCAATCCCTGTGGCTCTGTCCTCTCCCCATCCCACCTCCTCCAGCATCACCCCAAAGCGACATCCTGGATCCCAAACCACCCTCCCACCTCTTCTCTTTCCTCTCTGGTGCTGCCCAGTGGTTTGGCTGCAGGCTGGGAGAGGGGAGGCCACCAAAAAACGCTGGAAAAATGCCCCAGCCCCGTGCCCCTCATCCCAGGGACCAACAAAGCCCTGGGATCAGCACCCTTACCTCGCTGTAACGCCTGTGCAGCGGCCAAGAGTGGCAGCAGGGCCAGAGCTGCCCTCATGTTGGAGCTGGCTCTCCTCCTCCTGCTGGGAAGCAGCTCTGGGAATCCCATCCCGGAGTTTTTATGGAGGCAGTGTCAGCAGCTGGGAGAATGATTAATCCCAGAGGGCAAGCATCCTTGGCCTGCTACCTGGGGCCTGGGTGCCAGCTCCTCAGCAATCCAGCTGGTTTAAATCATTAACTTGGAAAAACAGGCATGGGTTTGAATTCAGTGCACCCCAAGAGCGGAAAGTTCTGTGTGCTTGGGACAGTATCTGATCGCGAGGAAGGAGACACACAGTGCAGCTTTCCCTTTGTCCCTAAAAATATTGACAATTCCACATCTGTCATCTTCTAGGGTCCAAAGACAAGCTGAGGAAGAGGAGAAGATCCTGCTAAAGTGATCCTCACTGGTCCTGCCTGGACAATTGATGAGAGGGAAGCAAATAGGGAGGGATAGAGATCCAACTACAGCAGTGAGAGCCCTGGCCCCCAAATCTGCCCAGCCTCTCCATGCACCCTGCACTCCCCTTGAGGCCAGATGTTCCCTCTCAGATCACATTCCCTGGGACAAAGACAGAGCTGGTTTTTATGGAAGAATCCAGCTTTTTCTCCCAGATGTCTGTACTGACAGTGAGCTGCAGCTTGGGACCAAATCCTGCTGAGGCAGGAGATAACGATGTCCCGTTCCTGATAGTTTATGTGTGCAGGGTGAAAATAAATAATTAGGAACTCATGGAATGGCCTTTTCTCCTGGATGAACCGTTCCTGTCAAGCTTTTATGTCACAGCCATGGGAGGTGAGGGGCAGCGCCCACAGACCGGGCTGCCCCCGGAGAAGACGGTGCCGGTGGGAGCCCCGGGGCCGGGCCCGGTCCTGGCCGCGGTTCCGCATCTGCACCATGGAACCGCACCGCTGTCCCCGCCCGGCTCCCCACCACCGGGACAGCGGCGGGATCGCGGCGGTTCCCGGGGCGGACCCGGAGCCGCCGTGAGGGCCCGGGACCCGCAGGGCGCCCCCTGGCGGACACGGAGCGCGGTGCGCGCGCGGCGCCCCCGCGTGGCCGCGGGACAGCGGTGCGGGGGCGGGGCCAGGGAGGGGCGGGGCGGGCACAGGTGTGAGGGGCGGGGCCACAGCGCGCGTGCGCAGCTCGGGGCCGCACAGGTGTGAGGGGAGGGGCCGGCACAGGTGCGCGGGGCTCCAGAGCGCCTGCGCGGGGCGGGGCCGAGGGCATTTAAACCCCGGAAACCGCCGCAGGCGCCATTTGCTCGGTAGCGCTTGGAGATGCCGGGTGCGGCCGGTGCGGGCTCCCCAGGCGGGGCTCGGGTGAGGGTCTCTCTGTCCCTCTTTTCTCCTCCTCCTACCCCTTACCCCTCTCCTCCCTAGATCCCCATCCTCTCCTCTCCCCTGCCCTCCGTCCTCTCCTTCCCCTTCCTCTCGCTGTCTCCAGCCCGACCCCCCTCTAATCCCCTTCCAGCTCTCCTCCCCATACCTCCCTCCCGCTGTACCCCGCTGCTCCCCTACCAGCCCTGACTCCTGCCTCTGTTCTTCCTTCTCGTTCCCCCTCCATCCTCCCTGTCCATCCCGACCCTGCCTCTCCCTACCCTCCCCTGCTGCTCCCCTGTGCCCCCTCTTCAGCTCCCTGTCCCCCTTATTCCCGCTATCTCTCCGTTTTCTGGCTTCTCTTTCCTTTATCCCCCCGTCTCTCCCTTGTCTCCCCTCCCTGTGTCCCGCAGCCGCGGGGTTCGGGGCGCCGCACAATAAAGCCCCGAGGGCCGGAGCCGGCGCCCCTGGCTTGGTTGAAAAGGGTCGGGACCCGCTGTGGGTCCCCCCTTGCAGATGCCAACACTGCCCCACACTGCCGGGTTCGGCTGTCCCTGCATCACACTGGGGTCAGGGCGGGCCCCTCCTCAGGAGGGGTCCTGGGCTGGGCTGGGGTAGCGAGGGGGGGAGTGGGGGTTAGGGGGGCCCCTCATTAGGAGGGGTCCGGGGGAGGGGTGGGGAGGTGGGGGGCGGGGGCGGGGAGGGGGAGAGGGGGGCGGAGGGAGGGCGGGGGGCGGGGGGGCCCCCTCCGGAGGAGGGGGTCCCGGGGGGGGTTGGGGCGGGCCCCCTCCGGAGGGGGGGGTCCGGGGTGGGAGGGGCTGGGGGGGTCAGCCCCCCTTAGCCCCGCCCACCCGGGACCCTCCCCTCCGGACGGGGCCTGGCCCGGCCCCTCCTCGGGACCCCCTCCTCCGGACAGGGGCCCCGCGGGAGGGGGGGGGGGGGGGGGGGGGTCAGGAAGGGGGGAGATGCTGTTGTTGCGCACAAATGTGTAATCGCGGTTCAGAGTGACGTGACCCCTCCTGCTACCCCCCCCCCCCCCCCCCCGCGGGGCCCCTGTCCGGAGGAGGGGGTCCCGAGGAGGGGCCGGGCCAGGCCCCGTCCGGAGGGGAGGGTCCCGGGTGGGCGGGGCTAAGGGGGGCTGACCCCCCCAGCCCCTCCCCCCCCGGACCCCCCCTCCGGAGGGGGCCCGCCCCAACCCCCCCCGGGACCCCCTCCTCCGGAGGGGGCCCCCCCGCCCACCCCACCCCCCCCCCTCCCCCCCCAACCCCTCCCACCTCCCCACCATCCCCCCTCCCCCGGACCCCTCCTAATGAGGGGCCCCCCCTAACCCCCACTCCCCCCCTCGCTAACCCAGCCCAGCCCAGGACCCCTCCTGAGGAGGGGCCCGCCCTGACCCCAGTGTGATGCAGGGACAGCCGAACGCGGCAGTGTGGGGCAGTGTTGGCATCTGCAAGGGGGGACCCACAGCGGGTCCCGACCCTTTTCAACCGAGACAGGGGCGCCGGCTCCGGCCCTCGGGGCTTTATTGTGCGGCGCCCCGAACCCCGCGGCTGCGGGACACAGAGGGGGGACAAGGGACACAGAGGGGGGACAAGGGAGAGACAGGGGGATAAGGGAGAAAGACAGAGGGATAAGCGAGAGAGAGAGGAGGATAAAGGAGAGTGGGGGATAAGGGAGAGTGACAGGGGATAAAGGAGAGGCAGGATAAGGGAGAGGTAGCGGGAATAAGTGGGACAGGGAGGGGAAGAGGGGGCACAGGGGAGCAGCAGGGGAGGGTAAGGGGAGGCAGGGTCGGGATGGGCAGGGAGGATTGAGGGAGAATGAGATGGAAGAACAGAGGCAGGAGTCAGGGTTGGCAGGGGAGCAGCGGGGTACAGCGGGAGGGAGGTATGGGGAGGAGAGCTGGAGGGAGATTAGAGGGAGGTCGGGCTGGAGAACAGCGAGAGAGGGAAGGAGATGACAGGACAGGGAAGAGGAGGGGAGAGAGGGGGAGGGAGAAGAGAGGAGAGGACCGTAGAGGTGCGTAGAGGGGCAGGGAGGAGAGGGAATGAGGATTTAGGGAGGAGAGGGGTAAGGGGTAGGAGGAGGAGAAAAGAGGGACAGAGAGACCCTCACCCGAGCCCCGCCTGGGGAGCCCGCACCGGCCGTACCCGCCACCTCCAAGCGCTGCCGAGCAAATGGCGCCTGCGGCGGTTTCCGGGGTTTAAATGCCCTCGGCCCCGCCCCGCGCAGGCGCTCTGGAGCCCCGCGCACCTGTGCCGGCCCCGCCCCGGCGCTGCCTCGCTCCGCCCCCCAGGGCTGAACCCCCCCCCCCACCAGTCTGGGGTCTGCCCTGACCCCAAAAGGCAGGATTTGGGCTCTCTGATCAAACCATTCAAATGCCTGGATGAGCCTCCTTTCGCACTCCCCAGACGGGGCTGGAGTCTGTTTCACCGCCCTGAGACTGCCCGGCTGGGGCTGGCTCCGAGTGCCAACAACGCGGCACTTGGAGCGCCCAGCAAAAAAAACCAGAACTTTGTCTCCATTTCTGAGGGGGGAAAATAAAAAACCCTGATTTATTTTTTTCACTACCCTAAAAAGTGCCAAAAGAGCCTGGCGCCTCCAAACACGGGACGCGGTGTCTGTTTCTCAAGCACGAACACGCAGGTCCCTCTCTGAACCCCCAAACACGGGACTCGCTCTCCCTTTCCAGGTGCTTGGCTCGGCTTTCCTCACCTATCCCGGGGATCCCGGGGTTCCCGGTTACCGGGGAGCGACCGGAGCCGCGCGGTGGCGCCGCCGGGGCCGGGCCCGCCCGCGCAGCCCCGGAGCTCCGCCCCGCGCAGGCGCCGCTGCCGCGGCCATGGCGGAGAAGGTGCAGAAGAGGTGAGTCCCTTTCCCCCCCCTCGATCCCTCCCGGTTCTCCCCCGATCCCTCCCACGATCACCCGCCGTGACCGCCCCATCGCTCCCCGCAGCGTGAAGATCGCGCCGGGCGCCGTGGTGTGCGTGGAGAGCGAGATCCGCGGGGACGTGACAATCGGTAAGGGCCCTGTCCCCCGCCCGGTCCGGCCCCCGGCGGTGCGGGCACGGGCTGACACCGGGCTGTCCCCGCAGGACCCCGGACCGTGATCCATCCCAAGGCCCGCATCATCGCCGAGGCGGGGCCCATCGTCATCGGAGAGGGGAACCTGATCGAGGAGCAGGCGCTCATCATCAACGGGTCCGTGGGACACCCGCTGGGGGCTTAAAAACCCTGGGGAGGTGGAGTTTATTATAAAGGAAACCACCAAACTTCGTGGTTTGTGTACGCGTGTGGCACTGTGGCTTGGGGAGAAGTCACAGAATCACAAATGTTTAATGTTTGAAGGGACCTTAAATATCATTTCATACCACGCCCCTGCCATGGGCAGGGACGCCTTCCTCTATCCCAGGTTGCTCCAAACCCTGTCCAACCTGGCCTTGGACACTTCCAGGGTTGATGCAGCCAGTATTGCCTTGGGCAACCTATTCCAGTATCTTATCCCCATCACAGTAAATATTTTCTTATGTATATCTAACCTAATTTTCCCCTCTTTAAGTCTCTGCCCACTACTTCTTGTTCTGTCACTCCAGTTCCTGACAGAGTCCGTTTCCAGTTTCCTTGTAGGCCCCCTTCAGATACTGGTTGCTAAGTCCACCTGTGAATCCTTCTCAAGCTGACAGAGAATCCTAATTCTAAGCAGTCTCAAAATTCTGACAGTCCAGCTCAGCTGGGTGGGATATTTGTGGCTTCAGTCTGTCACGAAGTTGAGCTGCCCCACAGAGCACTGTCATTGTGATCTCAGACGTGGAAATCTGTTCTTCCTTCTTACAGGTACCCAGAAAATATAACCCCAGAGAGCGAAGATGTGGAGCCCAAGCCCATGGTAATTGGCACCAACAATGTTTTTGAGGTCGGGTGCTGTATCCTCGCTGTGCAGTGACAAACCATCCAGCACACCGTGCTCCTGGATCCCTCCTGGGAGAGGCATCTCTGGGACTCTGTCAGGGTTCAGATAGCCCAGGGCTTGGGTGGTGGTTTGAAAAGGGCATCAGGGTTTTTCACCTGCTGAAAAAAAGCAAAGCATTTTACAGTTTTACTTAACACAGACCTGTAGATTCCCAAGCGATGAAGGTAGGAGACAACAACGTCATTGAATCCAAAGGTAATTCTCAGCTTGGGGCCTTTGGCCCTGCTGAGATTCTTCTCCTATAAATGCTGTGGGGACAGCTCTCACAGGGACTCCTCTCTCCCTTCTCCCTGGCAGCGTTTGTTGGCAGGAACGTGATCCTGACGAGCGGCTGTATCATCGGGGCCTGCTGCAACGTGAACACCTACGAGGTGATCCCCGAAAACACCGTCATCTACGGGGCCGACTGCCTGCGGCGCGTGCAGACCGAGCGGCCACAGGTGCGTGGGGACATGCTGCCACCTCCTGTCCCCTCGGGCTGCTCCTGTCCCCTCTGGCTGTTCTCTCACCTCCCCTGCCTCCCTTTCCAGCCCCAGACGCTGCAGCTGGATTTCCTAATGAAGATCCTGCCCAACTACCACCACCTGAAGAAGACCATGAAGGCTGCGTCCACCCCTGTCAAGAGCTGAGCACTCAGCTCATGCTGCCTGTGCCCAGCCGGGTGTTTGGTCCTGGGAAGCACTACACACTCTGGGAAGAGTCCGGTCTCCACGTCCCTCATTCCATCAAACCATTTTTTCCTTATTTGTGTCATTTATTTTTCTTCCATTGGGAATCTCAGCCCTGCTTCGAGTCTGTCGTCTCTCACGCGTTATCTCTATTGTTTGTGCTTTTTTTTCGGGAATAAAATACCTCCAGTTCTGCTGTCCGAGGGAACCGCAGCCCTTTGAGTGTGCGGGGTGCGGTGCCCGGGTGACACGGGCGCTGTCGGGGCGGGTGTCGCCGCCGGGGACAGCCCCGGTGCCGCCTCCCCGAGCCGGCAGAGGGCGGCGTGACCCCGCGCTCCCCGGGAGTCCCGGCCCCGCATCCCGGATCCACGCGAGCCCCGGGGTGGGAAACACAGGGACATCCATGCAGCAGAAATCCCTGTAGGAGAGAGGGGATAGGATCAGCAACTAACACAGAGGAACCCAAATTTCTGTGGGACGTGAGGCTTTGGGTTCAGATCGGGGGTTTCAAGGCAAGGAAGGGGGGCAATATCTGCTGGAGCAAATTGGATTTTCTCCCCAAGTCCAGCTTCATGGCTACAAAAACCCCACACCTCCCCTTTTCCCGGTTTGTGATCACAACCTGGGTTCCAGCGCTGCTGGGCAACTGCAGCTCTTTCCCAAAGCTGAGTCCAAATAAGGGTTGTGAGTATTGTCTTGCCAGCTGTCCAGCCAGAGATTTTTGTGTAGATGCCTGTGGAGGGGAAAAACAAAGAGATAAAACACATCTCTAAATTTTCCCCTTGCTGAAAATCTACCCCAAAAGCCAGAGGTTCCGGCAGATTTGGGTGACTAGATCGGTCCCTGTGCTCTAGATTCCCTCTGGGGTGAGCTGCCCTTGTAGCCGGACACTTCCCGCTTCCCCAAATCCAGCTGGCACGGCTCATTTCCACCTCCCTCCCGGCCCGAGAGCTTCTGTCCTTTGAATCGCTGCTGCGGGGATGCTGCAAACCTGTGGGTGGCCAGGCTGTGTCCCCTGGGCAGCCGGCAGGACAGGCGGGTGCCTGCCCCCAGGTCTGTTTCGGCTGGTGAGGCACAGAAAGGCAGGGAGGGGTTAAGCCCCCAGGTGGGGCCGGTTGGGGTGATGAGCTCCCGCTGGTTCTTTCACTGCTCCCAGCCCTGCACCGGGTCCCCAGCACCGTCCCCTCCTCTGCCCCACAGCCCTGACGCATTCATGTCCCTGGGACTGTGCACCATGTCCTCAGCCTGGTGTCCTGTATCCTTAACCTTGCGTCCCGTGTCCCCAGGACTGTGTCCCTTCTGCCCAGCCCGTGTCCCATGTCCCTGAGACTGTGTCCATCTCCCCATCCTTGTGCCCCATGTCCCCAGCCTTGTATCCCCAACCCCGCGTCCTAGACTGTCTTCTATGTCTCCAGCACTGCCCCGTATTCCCAACTCCGCGTCCTGTGGCCCCACATGCTACCGCGTCCCATGTCCCCCGTTCCCATCGCCCACCTCCCGTATCCCTGCGCTCCTCCATCCCCGCCCCGTCCCTCCCCGGCCGCGCCGCCCCGCCCCGGCCCCCCCCGCCGCCACCGGGACCAGCCCCCAGCGCCGCCCGCCCGGACGCGGCTGCCGCCGGCGGGACGAGGAGCCTGGCCGCTCGCACCATGAGCAGCGTCCCCGCCGACAGGGAGGGCGGCCCCGCCGACACCAGCCTGCCCGAGGAAGAGGTACCGGGGGGGGACACGTACCGGGGATTTGGGGCGGAGGGGCTCCGGTTTCTCCCTCCCCACCCGCGATCACCGGGAGCTGCGCTCCGCGGGTGCTCACGCACCGGGCGGGCTCCCGGTACCCGGGGCTGCTGCGGGAGGTGGGGGCGCATCCCCGCTCCCCGGGACTCTCCCATTCACCGCCCGCATCCCCCTGGGGGTCGCCGCAAACGCCCCTCCGCCTCGCCGGAGGGAAGCTGCGGGCGCGGGGAGCCCCACGCGTGACACGGATCGCCCCGGGGGGCGTGAGGGATAAATCAGGCACCCCCCGGTCCCGCTGCCGGTGCCCGTGGGTACTGTGCATCCAGCGGCTGGGAATCTCTTTCCCCTGTGTCTCACTCCAAAAATGTCCGAAACTCTCCCATCCCCACGGGAGACCAACCCCACACCCCGTCACGGTGAGTGCTGGTTTTCTTCATTCCAGCCGCGAAGTTCCTGGTTTTGCCCGTGACCTTGAGATGGGAATTTGGACTTTGTGAGGGTGAGAGCGGGAAGATTCCGATCGGAGATCTCCTCCTCCTTTACCCTCCACCCGGCTGGGCTGCTCCAGCAGGTCCCTGCTGGGCTCCCTGGTTGGTGGCCAAGGCTGGGATCAATCACCTCAGTTCCATCGCCCGCTGCCGCCTGCCTTCATTTGCTTATTCCAGAGGTGGTTCTGCCTTCAAACTTCCCAAAGTTTCCTAAAAAAACGTGGAGTTTTTTCCACTGGTGGCCTTGCGGAGTGTGTGGGGGATGATGCTGCGGCTCTGGTGGGCATGGCAGCGGGTGACACCCATGGAGGCCTGTTGCCTTTTCCAAACCCATGCCGGCCATGGGGAACAGCCGGAGGGGACAGCTGGGAGGTGCCAGGGACACGCACAGAGCCGCGGACACACGAGGAGGGCGATGCCCGCTCCTGCCTGCAAGCCGCGCTGCTCCGGTGCCAGGCAGGTATTTTCCTGGCAGGACTTGTTCCAGCCCAGGCTGGAGGAGCCGGTGCTGTCTATTTGCTCAAGCGCAGGGAAAGGGGTTACTCAGCTACTGTGCCTCACCTCCCCACTCCCAGGGCTTGCCTTCAGCCTCCTGTTCCCTCAGAAAAGAGGGAGAAGCAGCCCCCATCCCTGGGAGGTCAGTCGGGGTGCTGCCAGGTGGGAAAACCCCCCGCTTCATGCCCGCTCCTCTGTCCCGGGTGACTTCCCCGTCCCTCTCGCCTGTCCCCCCCGGGAAGGACACCCCCGGTGCAGGGGAGCTGTGGGCCAGGGGCTTCCCCACGGAGGAGCCAGAACAATTTGGGAAGGCGGTCACGTCACTTTGGCCGGCCGAGAACGGCATGTAAAAGGCTCGGCGGAGGCCTTATTTGGTAGCGGAGCGGCTGCGGAGATCCCGGCTCGTGGCTCTCGTCCCCATCCCACGCCAGATCCCTCATCCCGGGGGAACCGTGCCATGGGGAGGGGACCCCAGGGATGCTTTCCAGGGGGAACGTGCCCAGCGAGTGGATAAAATCTGTCCCCGTTGTCCCTGTGTTGCATCCCCCCGCTCTCCTGCTTCCTTTCCTCCTCGAAGCATGGGGTTTGGGAGCAAGCTCCAAGCGGGACAGGGACGAGTGTGACCCGCGCCTGATCCCGCCGCTCCTCCGCTCTGTTGCAATCCCCCATCTGCTCCCTTGGCTGCTCATTGCCTTTTCCTCTGCCGCTTCCTCGTTCCAGCCCCGGCAGCTCTGGACTCGCTTTTCCCCAAGGGTTGTTCCTCTCCTCCCGTCCTTCACCGGACGTGCGAGAACCGTGATTTTCCAGCAAAGCAGCTACGGGTGGCGAGGCCGGAGATCTATCCCGGTCCTCCCGTACCCCCCGGGTGGAGGAGCCGGCATCCCTCGGCCTCAGCCTTGTTTATGTCGGGGAGTTTTGCGGGCTGAAGGCATGCGTACACACAGCCCGGCAATCTAAACCCAGCCGAGGAAGAGGATCCATTAGCCAAGGGAGTATTTATGCCAGGACTAATCCCGGCGGGGGTGGGAATGCACCCCGCTTTACCGGGAACGGGAGGGGAAGCCCTGCTCGCCCCGTGCCATCGCCCTCCCGCTGCCGCCGGGATCCGGTGCCTCCCCGGCGGCGGGCAGCCAAGCGGATAATCGGCTGGTGGAGAATTAAAGCGAGCCCCGCTGGAAGGGGCGCACGGACGGACAAGGGATGGGAGCTGGGCTGAAGGAGGCGATTAAATACCTCGTGGATGAATCACCCGGACGCCTCCCGCCTCCCCAGGGCCTGTTAACGTTTACCGGGGGTGGTTTGGGCAGGGCAGGGCAGGGCAGGGGACCGGGACCCTGCTGGCAGGACACTGCCGTGTGATGGGGGTCCCTGGTACCTCCTTACCTGCAGGAGACAAACCTGGTAAGCTTGTGGTTTCATGTGAGGAAGAGGAGGAGGAGGGCTGCTGGCCCTTCATCACGGACCTCTCCATGCTGGGGTCATCCTTGATCCGTGCTCTGGAGACCCCAGTCACCTCCTGGCCCAGATCTTTGCCTCTCCTTGCATGTCCTCAGCCCCGACCATCTCGGCAAACCTCCACAGAGCCTTTCCAGTATCCATTAAACCGGCCCAAGACAAGATGCAGGATTTCAGGGACAAAAGACTGGGATGGTGGGATGCAAAGGTGAGAGGGACAGGCCAGAAGGGGGATGGAGATGATTTCCAGGGAAGAGGAGAGTAGCACAGATGAAGAGCAGACTTCCTGCAGCGAAAACAAAAGCCAGGAGGGGACACATCAGAAGTGAGGCAATACACGTAGGATCCAGCAGCCCTGGCAAATCTGGGAGCTGTGGGGTGCAGCAGCAGGAGCAGAGGAGGACTGTGGAAAAGGACTTGGAGCATTCCCATAGCTGCCATCCCCATGGAAGGAAGTCAAGGTGGTCACCTTTGAGCTCCTCCTGGAGCAAATATTGGCACTTCTGCCTTAAAAAAAAAAAAATCTTTGTTTTCACCCCAAATTTAAGGAAGAAGGAGAAACAGAGAAATGCTCCACCAAATAGAAACTGAAAGATATTCATACAGCAGAACTGAAACAGCTCAGGATGTCCAAAAAAACGGTGGGGTTTAAGCTGGGGGAATCCCATGCTCCAGCGCCCTTTAATCCTTGCTCGAGAGCTGTCAGTCTGGCCCTGTCCCATGACATCCTTGGGAGTAGGCACTGTGCCTGATCCACCTCTCTGAAGGACTAATTCTTCCCTGTGGGAGAACATATATGTGCCTGCTGCCTGCAATTTTTCTGATAATACTTTTCGTTTTTCCTGCTTCAGGGAAGGATTTTGCTCTAGGAGTGTTTCTGGTAGAGGATGGGGACTGAATCCCTGGGATCTCTCAGCACAAAAAAACCTGGAGCAGCTCCCTGCAGGCCAAAGCTCCCCTTCCATTTAAGGGCAGGAGTAATATTTCTGTCTAGAATCTTTCCCTTGGCAAAATCTGTCCAGCCTGCTAGGATTATCCCCAAGGATGCTCCCTTGCTCTGCCAGTCCCACTGGCTCATTACCCAGTGAAAGGATGCTGATTATGTAGGACCTACTCCAGCATCCCTGGGGCTGGGTGCATTTGCGGGGTGCAGCTGGGGAGCACCCAGGAGCTCGTATCCATCCCTTGCCCTGGGCCCCAAAAACCCTTTTGGGGCTGGAATCCAGCTGGGGGATCCTTTGGAGCCCTTCTCCCTCTTGCCGCTGTATAATTTTACAGATTCAAACTTGGCCGACCCGCGTTTGAACTTGCAAAGAAAACAAAGTCATTAGAGAAGAGAAGCCCTTCTTCTGTGGGGCTGAATTTCGGAGGCTTCCTTGGGATCTTTCATCTCTGTCTCTCTCCCATGTGGCTTTGGGGACAAATGTGTGGCAGGTTTGGGCACGCAGAGTTTGGATTTCAGGGATGCGCACGGTTTGGATTTCAGGGATGCAGCAAACTGGCAGCAGGTTTCCCCACTCCCCCCAGTCCCTCCCACTGGAGGTCCTTGGTGTTTCCTGAAGCTCCCCGAGGAGAGGAGAGGCAGGAAGCCAGGGATGGCTCCAGGGAGGCAGGGGACACCGTGCAGGGACACTCAGCCTGCTCAGGATGTAAACCCACCTGGGAGGGTGGATGTGTCTGGAGAGCCGAGTCCCTGGGCAGCAGCCATGCTCAGGAGAAACTATCTGAAAGCCAGTATTTTTACCCTAGGAAAGGAAAAGTTTGCTTTCTTTAGACTGAATTTCATGGACACAAGGGGAGATCCTCCAGGTGAATCCCTCCCTAGCCCCTGCCAGGAGAAATTTGGGCAATGTCTCCGCTGGGGGACAGGGCAGCACTGAACACTGTGGGATGCTCCATCACTCCCCGGTCTCAGCAGACAGGCAGAAAGCTGGCAGGGGTCCCCTAAAGAGCTTGGGGGGATGGTCCCAACAGAGGGGACAGGCTACCAGGCTGTGCCTGCCTGTAGCCCTGGCTCAGGAAGGGGTGAGGACATCCCTTCTCTGCTGATCTCATCCAGCCTGGATGCTGGTACCCACAGGGATGATGATGGTGATGATAATGCTGGCACCCAGGATAGGTATCACTGGGGCTGTTGACACAAGGGCTGTGTGCAAACAGCTAAGTACCTTTTGTTATTTAATAGATATAGGTCAGCCAGAGGTTCTGTTCCACAAAGCAGGAATGTTTGCTGCTCCCAGGCTGGGAGATGGGGGAGATAGCTTATCTGCAAGAGAAAGAAGAAATGTCAGCAAAAGAATAGGTCTGGGCTGGCTGTTTCTGGCTGTTTCCCATGTCTCTTTCCCAGGGAATGGGGCAGGCAGGGTGCCTGGCCAAAAAAATTAAATAAAATACATCAACGTTTTCCCCTTCTACAGCCCAAAGGGTTAGGATGAGATTTTGGGGATGAGGAGAGGGACAGCATGTTCAGTTCCCCACACTGCTCTCCCAGTTACAAGCTGATTGTAAAGCAAAACCATCCCAGTTTGCTCATCCTTGAGGAGCCCCACATCCCCCCTTCAGGGTGCTGGGAGCAGAATTTCTGTCAAACATCCTAGCTTTGAGGATGCTGCACCATGATAAACATTACATCCACTCAAAAAGGGTTAAAACTCCTTAAAAGGTGACTTTTACAAACCAGGGACAAGCTGCTTAAATCCAGCCCCTTCCTAAACCAGGGCCTTTCCTCCAGGAGGAAGAGTTGGTGTTTGCTTCTCCCAGTCCTTAATGAGCTGCTGTAATTAAAGTGAGACAATAGGCATTGTCTGTGGAGTCCAGGATCCGCTGGGGATGATGGGAGAAATCCTGTTTGCCAGACCGGGGTAGGAAGGTGCTGGGCTTCTGTGAGCTTTTCATCCTGGAGAGGACTGCTGGGGTGAGGACAGGTCTCTGTTATCCTTCCATGGTGCCTTAGCAGCTTCCTCCATGGCCACAAGAAGGATGGGGCCACCTCTCCCAAAAATTCAGCATCACTCAAGCGTGATGCAAAACCAGCACATTGGCTTGAGGCTTTTGTCTGCCCAGGAGGCTCCCCTTGGGCTGGCATTGTCCCTCTGGCTATGGGGAGTGTGGTGTATCCCCAAGTTAGGGACGAGAGAGGGTCCCCAGGAACCTCCTTGCTTCTTTTCCAGGTGAGGACACTCTTTGTCAGTGGGTTGCCTCTGGACATCAAGCCCCGGGAACTTTACCTGCTCTTCAGACCCTTTAAGGTATCACATTGGGGAGGGAAAGGGGGGCTGAAAGCATGGGGATGGCCTCTGCCCCATGGCCCCAAACCACTGAAGTCTAATTCAGTCAGCTTATTCAGTTATTATTGTTTAATCACGGGGATCTTCACCAAACACCCTTTTTAATCCTTTCCTTGCAGGGCTACGAAGGGTCTCTCATCAAACTCACCTCCAAGCAGGTAGGAGCTGCTCCAAGGGGTGCAACCATCCCACCATTCCCTGGGGTGAGGGGCTCCCCTCTCTGCTCCCCATGAACCTGACTAATGACTCCTGTCCTTCCTCCGCAGCCCGTGGGCTTTGTCAGCTTCGACAGCCGCTCCGAGGCAGAGGCAGCGAAGAACGCGCTGAACGTGAGTGTGCCTGGCTCAGCCACTCCATTGCTGCACTTTCCTCTTCTTTCCCTGTCCCCAGAGACTCTCTGAATTCCTCCATCCCTAGGATTGCACCTCCCATACCAGCTGGCCCCATGACATCCCCATCCCTCCAGACAATCCCATCACTGTTTCTCAGCTGCATCCTTCCTCCTGGAGGGCTGCATCCCTCTCACCTTTCTCAGGGCCATCCAGGAGGGCTTGAACCATCAGGACTCGGGCCTTAGACAGAAGTGAGAAAGAGCATTCCCAGCCTCTCCTGTTTATTCAGCAGGAAAAATCCCACCTAAGTCTGCAAAAGAAAAAAACAAATTTCACTTTCTTTTAGCAACTTGTGAAGTGAGCTGAAAACAGTCACAGGCAGAACTGTGTGGAGCTGGTTCTCCAATTCCTCCCCAGCCCTCCCTGCATTTTGGTTCGGGGTTGTTTTTTTCCTTCTCTTCATTTTCAATGTAAAACTTTTTTTTTGGCTCCACTAATCCCTCTGGATAAGAGCTCGGCCTTGTGGGATGCCGACTGCCAAATATGGTGCCGATGCTAAAGATGCCGGAGGAATGTGAGCCGCCTCGGGGCCCGGCAAATTAGCTCATTTCAGGGCTGCAAGTTGAAAAAAACCCATAAATAACGGGGAGTTATTTTTGCTGCGGGGCCGGCACGCGGCGGTGCTCGCCCACCCGCCGCGCCTCCTTCCCTCCTTCCTTCCCACAGGGCATCCGCTTCGACCCCGAGATCCCCCAGACGCTGCGGCTGGAGTTCGCCAAGGCCAACACCAAGATGGCCAAGAACAAGCTGGTGGGCACCCCAAATCCCAGCACCCCTCTCCCCACCGCCGTACCTCAGTTCATCGCCCGGGAGCCCTGTGAGTACCCCCTGCGCTGCCAGCAGGGCTGGGGTTGGCAGGCACCAGGGGCTGGAAGGAGCAGGGATACCGTGAGGTGGTGGCCAAGGGGAATACTAGGTCCCGTTGGAAGTGTTGGTACCTGCTTGCTGCGTGGTGGCACGTGCTGGGGGGTTCCCAAAGGAGAGGACCGGGGACAGGTGACAGCCAGCAGGATGAGGTCTCAGGAGAGACCTCGGCGATGTCCTGCTGTGAGTGCTCCGTGCCCATTTCCGCTTCTGGAAGAGCTTCTCTCGCACAGACGCCGGCTCCTCACCCTGCTGTTGCACACAGGCATGAGCTGCACACTGTCCTCTGCTGAATCCCTGGGACTACTAAACCTCTTGGAGACAAGGAGCCCAGCTTCAGCTCCCTGAGCAATGTCCCCAGCCCTGTAGCATTGCTCATCCAGTGTTATCCCAGCGGGCGAATGCTGTGTTGGCTTTGTGAGTCGGCTCTCAGTGGTGGCATCTCACACTTTTCCAGGGCCAGCTCTGCTCCTGCATCAAGGGGAGAAGGAAGGATCACAGCCCTTTGGTCACCATTAACTCTCCCTCTTCTTCTCTTGCAGATGAGCTCACAGTGCCTGCACTTTATCCCAGTAGCCCTGAAGTGTGGGGGCCGTACCCTCTGTACCCAGCGGAATTAGCACCTGCTCTACCTCCTCCTGCTTTCACCTATCCCGCTTCGCTGCACGCCCAGGTAATTCCGACCCCTCCGCCTCCACCGCTCACCCCCCTGCCCGCCCCGGCCCCCCTTTCCCTCGGTGCTCACCGCACCACTAACCCTGCCCGGCTCACAGGCACTCACTCCCCGCTCCCCGAGATTTAGGGAAGGCTCCCAAATGGAGCTGAACGCTGGCAGGGGTCCTGTCTTTCCCCAGACACTTGTCTCTGCCTTCCTACTTTCGCTGGTACCTGCGGTGGGGCAGGTGGTGAGGGAGAAGGGAGGGCTGGGGATGCTCTCAGGGTCTGGACCATCCCCATCGCTCCTGGCACCGAACCACCCGGCTGCCAGTGTGAGATGAGGGCTCCAGAACCCCTGGCTGCCCCTGCAGCATGGCTGGGATGCGATGTGCTGTTCATAGGGTGTGAAGCCAAGCAGCTCTCACGGGGAGGAGAGGGAAGCGAAGCGCAAATGGAGGGTCCATCTTTTATTGACGAGGTGCTGCCTCGTCACAAGCACTTTCTGCCGCTGGCCCCCGATGGCAGCATGTGGCTGTTAAAAATTAACCATCCGCCTGGGAGAGGAGCAGGGGAAAAGGAGGAGAAGTGGAAATGGTGGAAGAAGAGGATTTCTTTGCAATGCCAGCCTTGTAGCATCATGGGGATGCTGGGAAAGGACCCCTGCCACAAGGGGGGAAAGGGCAGCTACCTCCTCAAGCATCCGTGCTGGACATCATCCTGGCTTTTGCTCCTAGCTGCTGACTCCAGCTCAGTGATGAACAAGAGGTAACAAGCAAATGGAAATAGATTTGCCAAATAAACTGCATCCAAAAGGCTTTTGGCCTTGGCTTGCCAGGATTGAGCCAGGTTATCCAGAGCCACCATCACTGGAGCTGGAGCAGCCAGGGGCTGGTTTGAGCAGAAGGATGAGGAAAAGTGCTCAGTGTGCAATCCATGTGCAGCCTTTGAATGAAACTCCAGCTTTTTGGGCCCTGCTGTTCATAGGAAGAGCGTTGGTAAATATTATTGCAGCTACGTACTTGCCTTGTCAAATAACTGCTAACAGGCAGCACCTGCCCTGCTCAGGGAAGCACACAGCCAAGGAAACAGAGGCGTACGGAAGCTCTGAGAGTCCCTCGGGAAAACCCAAGCCGAGACCTGACATTAGACAGAAGCAATATTACCTGATGTGAAATATCAGCCTGGTGGAGACAGTGCTGTTTGCACCTTCCCTGTGCAGCTGCTGGAGTTGTGGGTTTGCTGGGTGGGGGCTGGAGACTGGTGCCACCATCCAAACCGGAGTTGCTTTGCTGGATTCTGCAGACAGCAGCGGGACCAGGAACTGCAGGATGGATGGTGGAGCTGGCTCGGAGTTATCTGGCAGAGCGCTGAGTGCCTGCATGCCAAATTTCAGCATCTGATGTTTTCTGCCCTGTTTCAAGCAGGCTTTGCAGGAGCTAAGAAGGATGAGCTCACTCCTGCTCAGTGGGACCATGGTGCTGCTGTTCCAGCTCCATCCTGCTGGAAGCAGCCACACCAGGAGCTGTGCTCAGCCTCAGGGTTACTGTTGGAATTGGAGCTGGGATGGCTGTACTACTGGAGCTCCAACCTCCCTCTGCCCTGTGCCTGGGAAAAGCCAGGAAAAGGGATCCCAGGAAGAGCCTGATCTTGCCAGGGTGGGCAGCCACCCTCCTCTTACCTTGTGTCCCCCTTGCCTTTGCAGATGCGCTGGCTCCCTCCCTCCGAGGCTGGTTCTCAGGGCTGGAAGTCCCGTCAGTTCTGCTGAATGCCGGGTGAGTGCCACTGTCCCGCTCCCATCCTTCTGTGCCGCCTGGGGACCACCTCCACCTCTGCCCTGAGCTTCCCCCACTGCCACTCCCGGGGTCTCCAGCAGCTCAGGGTGGGTGGCCACTTTTCAGCAGACACCCCAAGTCCATTTCCCTCCTTGTGCCCAGAAGGGGATGTCTGTGCCACCACTCATCCCAACACTTCCCCACATGTCCTGGGGCAGGATGGAAAGGCACCGTGCCAGAGTGTTGTGATGGAAAAGGCAGCCCTGACACCATCACATCATAAAACCTTAAGGAAAACTATCCAGGCAGCCCAGGGTGGTGGGGCTGCCAAAACAAGCACAGCCTTACCGAGCACCCGGCTGCCCAGCAGGACAGAGGGACACATCCCATTCCATCTGGGACCTCTTCGGATGGAAAAAGCCTTGCAAGATACGCTCTGCAAATAACTTTGGCCTTTGTGGATAAATAAACAAAGGGGACTCATATGGAAGACACTTGGTGGACACTGAGCACTGCTTGGCCTGCAATCCCAGCCTGCCTGGACCATCCTAGCTGGGAACAATCCCTGCTGGGAAGCCTCCTGCTTCCACACCCGCCTGTGGAGAAATGTCAGTGGATCCAAAGCTCTGGCATCAGCTACCCATGCTGGCATGTGACTGCTCTGCCCATCTGCCTGGCATCCACAGCCCTGTGCTGCGGCCACGAGGTCACTCAGCTGGGAGGGCACAGGGCCCAGCCCTGGCTGCAGCCAGCCCCAGACTTGGATCCATAAAGAATTCACTGGCTATTTTAGGCCCAGCAGATAAAAATAGGGAGCAGGGAGGCTTTGGGAACCAATGGTTCTTCCAAAATATGCAACATGGCAATGTTTCCAGATAAAATGTAAGCAGAGACGCTTCTGGGAAGGGGAGATGAGCAAACCCCTTGATACAGGTCCACCAGCCCAAGAGCCACAGTGGGTGGTAAGGATGGAGGCTCAGGGACCTCCTGTTTCCCTTCCAGGTTCCTCCAGCTGGGTTTGGCTGAGGGCCTGGCTCTCCTGCCTGCATCTGCCTGTATTTGCTGCCTGGAGCCCATCGTGGCAGGGCTAATCCCACAATCATTTAGGGTGGAAAAGATGTCCAAGACCACCAAGCTCCATCTTTGGCCCAGCTAAGCTGCAAGCTGTCCCCTCAGGAAGCGCTGACTGTGGTCCCTGTGACATCGCCCCCTCCCCTGAGCACACTGACCCAGTGCCAGCGCCCCTCACTCTCCGCTGTGTCCTCCCACAGGTCTCAGGTGTGTGATGGTGGCCTACAGTCAGTCTTGTGGGTATTAATGGAGTCTTCCAAGGTGGCTACTGGGTTGATGTGCTCTCCACAGGACCTCAGTGTGCTGGTAAGGATGCCACCCTGTGGGCTTGGCTGCTTTGGGAAGGGGCCAGAGGAGCGAGGAAGTCAACACAATGTCCCTGGGGGAACAGGCCCTGAGGTTGGCAGGACCCTGGGGCTGCTCCAGCTAGTGCCCTGCAGAACCACAGCGCTGCCATTCCCGCCTTGATTGCTGTTATCTGGGGTGAGAGTTTCCACAGCCAAGGAATGCCTCTCAGCTTTGAATTACCCCCGCTAATCTCATCTCCGTCCTTGCTTCCTGCCTTGGATCAACAGAGACTGAATTCCTCTTAACTACAAAATGCAACTCACACTTAACTCCCAGCTCCCCAGTTCCAGCCCCCGGGGACTGCAGCCAATGGGAGGAACAAAGTGGGATCAGTGGGGCTCTTTGTGCCAGGGATGCTACGGCCTCTCCCTGCAGCCATGTCCCACCTTACCCTTTCCCTGCTAAACAACTGTCCTTAGAGCATGGTCCTGACATGAATTTCCAAAACAGGCCTCCCTCTCCCCCCTACCTTGCTTCCTTCCTTCCACGAAGGAAGAAAGATTAACCACAGCCCTTTTTCCTCTATCACAGCTGCTCTTTTTTTTTTTAACAACTCTCTTTGTTGTTTCAGGCTTGAAAAAAAACCTCACACAAGTTTGGATTCCTCCAAGACTTTCCCACAGCCTCTATCACACATCTGCTCTCCTAGAAGAAAAAAGAAAAACATACCTAGTAATAATATTTTCCTCTTTTACACTGTATATTTGTAAGGAAGAGTGCGTTACTCCCGAAAGCATGGTTTGACAGGCATTGTTGTAGTGTTTGAAAAGGCTTTTCAAATGGAACCATAGGAAAGAAGACTAAAAAAAAAAAAAAAACCAAAAAGAAAGAAAAAACAAACTAAAAGAAAAAACAAAAAACAAAACAAGAATTAAGTATTTTTGTACCAAAGCTCCTCAAGAGGACAATCTTACACCAGGTCGGACCACAAGTTTTGTGCTTGACTTTCGAGGTGTGTAAAGAAGAGTCTTATTATCCCCTGGCCCCGCCAGCTGCATGTGGAAGGCACGATGTTCACAGGTGTGAGGATGTCGACACACACGATGCGGGTTTATGGGAACTGTGCTCCTCTGGCACAGGACCCGTGCTCTGGCTGTGTTGGCAAGGCGTCTGCAGACACTACAGTATTACTGTTTTCTTCCCAGTTGCACCAAATGACGAGCAGGCAGGACAACCAGGAACTTCCTTCCCGTGTTTTTTTTTACCTTGGGGCTGTGTTCGTAGCTGCTGTGCAAAGCTTCCGTGGGGTACCACAGCTCGGATCAGGGATGGGCGGGCAGCCCACACACGTAGCAAGGTGACAATTTGCCTCCTCCTCCTCCTGCCATGACTGCTCCAAGCTGTTACGGGCAACGTAAACTGCTGTATGAAAAACGATACCAACAAATCCTTGGTTTGCCAGCTTCCTCGAGGTTGGACATGAGTCCTGAGGGGCTTCCCGTTATGCTGAAGCGCTGGCGTGGCCTGGCCTGTGGCTTTAGTGCTGATGTTATGCTGGTCCAGCTGCTCCCTGCGTGGCATTCCCATGTTTCCATGTGCAAAGACGAGAAGGGAGGCTGCCAACATCCTTTACAGAGATAGAGTACCAGCAGAGAGACTGCTTGACAGACTAGTTCTCCTTCTCCTTGCTCCAGGAGGAGTTCGGAAAAAGAAGAGAGCAAACTGACCCAAAACCTCTATCAGGTTTCGGTTTCTTGCAAA